CAAAATGCTCGCTGATGCCAACAGATGGAGACAAACCATCGCGCTTCTTGACTGAAATTAGCAGGTATGTGTTTGTATAGTCAACAACTATTGAACCTTTAAATGCAGATATTTATTTACACATCTATACTTTTTTTCATTTTTGAGTGAGAAAACACGGAGGTAAGAAAATACAGAGAGAGTAGTAAATGTGAACAAGATAAATTTCTGCTGCAGCACCTGGAATAACAYGACCTTTAGGTTAAACTCCTTTAAAATAGAACCGTACAAACCACAATATCTGGTCCAACTAGTTTATTAAACCTTTTACTGATGATCAAAAACAGGCTTTACAGAAAAGATGTAATCTCTAAGATAATTGGGGGAAAAATATCTAAATATTGGATGAACAATTAGGCTACCTTTTTTAAACTGAAGCAAAACAGATGATCTTTTTGTACAGAAATATACCAATCAGTTTTGAATTCCATGAGATGAGTCGTTCTTTAAGCTGTAAGATTAAGAACAACCTCCCTGATGTCTGATGTGAAGAAAAGTGGCGTCTGATTTTAAATTCAGACTCTCTGCTGTCAGGAGTATATTTAAACCTGAGCTGACAGGTTGGTCAGAGCTACATCTGAACGGTCATGTTTTAATAAAATCCTCCACTTGGGTCTCAATATAAAACTGAAGGACTTTTATATGATGCTTTTTGATCTGTGATGAATAACTTCAGATTATATAATGACTTCCTCAGAAGATTTGTTGTTTTATTTTTGTCAGTAATTATGTTTAAGCATTATATGTTTGTAAAGCATCTCTGGTCTGGTTATTTCCTCAAAAGATATTATGGGCCTATTCAACAGATTCGTCAAGCTTTGACTATATGACATAACAACAAACTGATTTATTTTCTCTTGCATAAATGTCATCAGGTTAATAAAAAAATGTAATGACATTAAAAAATGTAAATAAAAAATGCATCAATATGTTGGGTTCAAATAAAATATTCTGATATTTCTGCAAAGCATGAACA